AGACGTCAAGCTCTTCAAGCAGCAGACCGAGTCCGACGACGTCCTCGACGACGTCGCCTGCATGGCCGGCCCCACCACCCCCTCCCTCGACACAACGAGCCCGCGCCTTCACGCCGCCGGACTGTGAACAGGTCGGCTGCACCCGCTCGTCCCTCAACGTGGTCGCGTCGGAGAAGGGCCAGCGTCGCAAGGGGCGGGCCTTCGAGCCTTGCTGGCCTCGTCTCTTCACGCCGCCGGCTGTGCGAGCAGGCATCGTCGTCGGCAAGCTCATCTTTGAGGACGACGGCGACACCATCGACTGCACAAAGATGGGCATGGGCGGGAAGGCGCGGCATGCACATGCGCATGCCGAGACTTGCCGCAGACTTGCCGCCTCATGTGCCTCCGGAGAGTCGCCCAAGCTGAACGCCGACGCGGGGCCACTCCAGCGGCCTGACAACGCCCCACACGCCTCATGCACGACTCGTCTCTCAGGCGATCCCGCCCTCGATCGACCGCGTCACAAACGTGCGCGGCGACGCGCAGTTCATCCCTGCTCGTCGAGGAGGCCGCCGCCGAGCGAGGCGGCCCCTCACCCGTGGGGGGGACTGCTGAATCAGGTTCATCCTGCTCATCGAGAAGGACGCCGCCTTCATGCGGCTCGCGGAGGACACTCCCTAGTCACTTCCTAGACCCTTCCTAGACACTCCCTAGACACTCCCTAGTCACTTCCTAGGCCCTTCCTAGACACTCCCTAGACACTCCCTAGTCACTTCCTAGGCCCTTCCTAGACACTCCCTAGACACTCCCTAGACACTTCCTAGACCCTTCCTAGACACTCCCTAGACACTCCCTAGTCACTTCCTAGGCCCTTCCTAGACACTCCCTAGACACTCCCTAGACACTTCCTAGACCCTTCCTAGACACTCCCTAGACACTCCCTAGACACTTCCTAGACCCTTCATGCGGCTCGCGAGGACCGCCGCTACATCGACCATCGGATGGATGACTCTGTTTGCTGCCTGACCATCTGAGTCGTTGGTACAGGACCGCTTCTACAACGACTACCCGTGCGTCATCATCTCCGGCACCGGGGGCAGCCCGACACGGCTGGACAGCAAGCTCATCTTTGTGTGAGGCGTGCGGGGCTGTGTGTTAGGCAAGGGGCAGCCCGACGTGGCCACGCGGCTCTTCCTCAACAAGGTGGCCGCGCGCATCTCGGCGAATCTCGGCGCATCTCGGCGCCATCTCGGCGCATCTCGGCGCAACTCGACAGACCCACACCTCCGCGGCACCCCCCCCCCCCCCTGCCCCCCGCCACACCCTCCCCAGGTGCGCTCCGCACTCAACGTGCCGATCCTCGGGCTGTTCGACGCCGACCCTTACGGGCTCAAGATCCTCTCCGTCTACATGAAGGCGCGGAGGTCACCCGAGATCACCCGAGATCACTCGAGATCACCCGAGATCACCCGAGGTCACCCGAGATCACCCGAGGTCACCCGAGGTCACTCGAGATCACCCGAGATCGCCCGAGATCACCCGAGGTCACCCGAGATAAAATGCGCACCGGCCGTCCTACCTAA